TAACTGCTCATCCACTTTAATAGAGATGGTTAGGAGTTTTATTTGAAACATATAATGCAAAAAGAGTTAAGAGGACTCACAGATGTATTGTACAGGCCATGAGAGCAAGAGAGAAGGCAAAGATATTCTAATATCTTGAAGAGAGCAGCTACCTGGATAATGACATGAGCACTCTAACAGGTGTTGGGTGTGCAGGGATGGACGAGACAGAACCCAACCAAGAGGCTTAGATTCTAGTGGAGAAGACATGGTAAACACATAAGGAAACATGTATGAAATAATTGTATACAGGGATAATTGCTATGAAAAGTCTAAGCAAATAATAATAGCATAGAGAGTTGGAGGATGGCAATGTGAAAGGGGGAATCAGAGAGGGAAATCGTCAGCATAAAGCTGATTTTAAGTGGAGCCACAATACAGTGGAGAGACACAAGAACAATATTTTGATAGGAAAAGAAGGAGTCTAGCGCTCACTGTGGATGGCAAGCAATTAAACTCACACTTCCTTCTTCTTGACTTTTACATCTTCAGGGAACTGTCATTCTTCCACCTATCCAAGCTACACAAAGGGATGCTGGAGGGAAGATTAGAAAACGAGACAGAAATAATGTGTGGGGGCTATTTTTTAAAATAGTACTATTTGTTTTTTGTAGAACGGGTAAATAGTGGACTAGGAAACAAATTGGGAGATTGATATAGTGCACTCAATTGGAATATGGTCGTTCAAATTATGGTAGTAATACAGTAGTATAGAAATTACTGTAGAGACAGTGATTACTGAGGAGTTTTATTGGAAACATCATATGTAATAAGAGTTAAGCAGATTTATGGGTGGATTATATAATGGAAGAGAACAAAAGAGAGGGCAAAAGTAACTTTCTAGGTTCTTGAATGAGAATCTAGTTGGAAAATTATATAATTGACAAAAAAAAAAAAAAACCTGGAAAAGCAATGGATTTGAGAGGGTGAAGGGAGGTGGACTGGGCAAGTCAAGGTTTTGGTCTTAAATTTGAAAGTTTTGGATATTTACTTGAAATCCAAAGTAGAGGTATCAAACTGTTAGAACACCAATCAGTTCAAAATTTTCTTTATCATCTAATTTAATGTCATAATTAAAGAAACATATAATATGTATTCTATATAAGATACAAAGTGCAGTAATAAAGATAATATCCCTTCAAAGTCACAACCCAATACGTAAGTATCTACTTAAGTATTTTCTCGTTTCATTTATCTAATTCCTTTCCATAGATAAAAATTAACCTGAATTTGGTGTTTCTTGTTTGCTTCCATTTTTAAAATAACAATTTTTGTTATGCATGTATGTGTCTATAAATATACATTATTTACTTTTGCCAAATTATAAGCATTAGCAACAAAAATATTCTCTATTCATTTGGAATTTCTTTTAATTTTTTTCTTGTCAACACTTGGATTATCAGAATTCTTAATTTTCCTAAACTAGCATATGTAAAATGAAATATCATGGAGTGCCTCATTTCTGTTCCTTTAATTACTAATGAGAAGACTAAAATTATAAAACCGAGGTTAACACACATAGGAGACAGAGTAAGAAGATTTGATATAATTTAATTGAAGGGACAGAGAAAAAGACAGAAAACCATGACAGCAATAGTCAAATGGGTTGAAGGTGATAATGTTCTCAACTTAATGACAGACTTTAATCCCCAAATATAGAAAATAAAATGAATGTCAAATGAATAAATTCTCAAGTAATCCCCAAATGTATGAAATACAACAAATTTCAAAGAAATAAATTGTCAAAAAACACACTAATTAATAAATTTGCAGCTATTAAAGACAAAGAAGGATAAGCAGATTGCTAGCAGTCATTTTAAGAGAAACAAGGAAAGCCCAGAAGCCAAGGGAGCAATTTCTTCAAAATACAATCAGCGTTCTATATCCCTAGGTTTGGCATGTGTGATTTTAACCAACTGACCACCCCCCCAAATTTTTCATCTGTACTAAATATATAAAGACTTTTTTCTTGACATTATTCCCTAAACAATTCAGTATGACAACGTTTATGTAGAATTTGCATTGTTTTAAGTATTATAAACAATCTAGCAGTGATTTAAACTATATAAGAGATTGAACATAAGTTACGCACAAATCCTAAGCCAGTTTACATATTCAGCTGAGCATCCACCATTTTGCTTGAAAGAACCAATACCTCATAGATACTGAAGAACAACTATAACTAAAAAATAACCAAAATAACTGTCAACCTGAGAAATCTGTGTACAGTGAAACAATCTTAAATATCAAGAATAAAATAGAGAAAATGAAAACAAAACCTCTCACCATCAATGGACTTTCATTAAATGAATTTCTAAAAGATATACATTTAGACAGAAGGAAAATGACATCAGAATGGATGGCTGAGATTGAGAAGGTGGAACAATTGGTAAACTCATAGACAAATATCAATAAATATTGCCTGTATAAAGTAAGAAAAACAATGACTAAATTTCCAGCAAAAACAAACAACAACAACAACAAAAACCAAAATAACTACATTAAAAGACAGCAGGAAACCATAAGGAGATCATCAGATGAAACATTTGTTTCCTTGTATAGTAAGATGTTGATTGACTTTAGAGGGTTAGAATAACTTTTGCAGGCAACAATCAAGAAGAAAAAAATACACTACAAAATTTTCACAGAAACTTCATGTCAGTCCCAAAGTAGAGAGGAAAGAAAAAGAAAGGAAACATAAAACAAAATTGCGGGGTGGGGGATGGCTGGGGAGTATAAATATAAAATGTTATTCCTGTTTGTTCCAGTTTTTAGAGGGAATGCTTTCATTTTTCTCCATTTTCAATAATGTTGGCTTTAAGTTTAGTGTATATAGCTTTTATAATGTTGATGTATCTTCTAGCTATCCCTAGTTTTTCTAGTGTTTTGAATATGAATGGATGCTAAATTCTGGCATATGTTTCTTCTGCATCTAATGAGATAATCAATCATGAGATTCTTGTCTTTAAGTATATTGATGTGGCGAATTACGCTCTCACCGTACACAAAACTCAAAGTGGATCAAGGACCTAGGCATTAGACCAGAAACTCTGCGCTTACTAAAAGAAAAAGTAAGCCCAACACTACATCTTGCCGGCTTAGGAACCTACTTCCTCAGCAAGAATCCTGAAGCACAAGAAGTATAATCAAGACTCAATAAATGGGATGGTATCAAACTCAAGAACTTCTTCACTGCAAAGGAAACAATCAAGAATGTGAACACACAGTCTACAGAATGGGAGAAAATTCTCACCACCTGCAGCTCAGAGCATTAATCTCCAGGTTATAAAAAGAACTCAAAAAATAACACCAAAAAAAAAAAAAAAGCGCCAAACCAATAATTGGGCAAAGGAACTAAAAGGCATTTAACAGAAGAAAAAATACAAATGGTCAAAAATATATTAAAAATGTTCAACATCATTAGCAATTAGAAAAATGCAAATTAAAACTACACTGAGATTCCATCTCATTGCAGTTAGAATGACAGTTATAAAGAATACAAACAACAATATGTGTTAGCAAGGATGTGGGGAGAAAGGTACTCATAATGACTTTGCAGGTGGGACTACAAATAGGTGCAACCATTATGGAAAGCAGTATGGATACTATCCATTTTAAAAGACTTAGAATGGAACCACCAATTGACCCAGCTAACCTACTCCTCAGCTTATACCCAAAGGACTTAAAATCAGCATACAAGAGTGACACATCCATATCTCTGTTTATAGCAGCTCAATGCACAATAGTCAAGCTATGAGATAATTATGAGATGATCATGTAATGGATGCACGGATAAAGAAAACATGGTATATATACACAACAGAGTATTACTCAGCCATAAAGAAGAATCAAATTATGGCATTTAGTGGTAAAAGGATGGAACTAGAGAATATCATGCTAAGTAAAATAAGCCAATCCGAAAAAAAAAAAAAAAAACAGAGGCTGAATGTTCTTTCTGATATGTGAATGCTAACTCCAACAAGGGAGGGTGGGAAGAGGAAGAATAGAAGTCCACTGGATTAGACACAGGGAAAAAAAAAGAGAAGGAATGGGGGAGGGCAATAGGAAGGACAGTAGAATTAATAGAACATAACTTTCTTAACCTTATATTTGAATATATTACCAGGGCAACTCAGCATCATGTACAACCACGAGAATAGTATCCTAATTAGAATAAGTTATACTCCATGTATGTCTAATATATCAAAATACATTCTACTGTCAAGTATAACTAAAAAGAACAAATAAAATAAGATGATAAACATAAATAAAGTGAAAAGAAATTATCACATTGTATTAAACAAGCAAACCAAAAAAGATTAAGAAAAAAAATAAAAGATAAATGTGCTTTACAAATGACAAAGCTAGAGCAAAGGATATCAAAAGTTGAAGCAAAATATGGACTAATATTTATGCTGTAAAAATACCTAAAAGCTAGTGTAAAATTAAAGTGACTTATATTATTCAAAAATCAGTATGATCCAATTCTCCTTGCTTTACTAATGAGAACTAAAGCAGAAATTGACAAATTATCACTATTTTGGAGAGTTCAAACAAAGTTCTTAATTAATTATATACTAAGGTAAGAGGTAAGAAAAATATGGAAATATTGACAGACAGGATTAACAAGTTTGGGTTATGAACATGTAAGAACTTTGTAGTGACAGAAAAGCTTACACTGTTCTTCAGTATAAATGGGATAATTTCAACAGTGAAAGGCTTATTGGATCTTAGGAGGTATTTCATTTATTTATCCCTTTATCAAGGATACCAAGCTACTGATGCTTCTGATTATCTTACCATGTCTTGATCTAATCTTAAGATTCTTTCTGCTGTGCAGAAATGTAGGAGATGTATGTATGTTTGAAAACTATTTTAAACCATTGCATTTTAAATATCAAATCTCTATGTATATCAGTGCATTTTAAGGTGTCATTTGGAGGACTCACAAGACATTTTACCTTGAATTAAAGTGATATTTCTCAATGTCTGAGAATGTTCCCAGTCTTTCAGTCTGAGATCATTAGTGATGTTATTCAATACTTTCACTTCTCTTTTTATTTCCTGTTGCACATAAACTTGTTCTTCTTTTAGAGACTTAATTTCTGCTGATGTGTTGTGTACCCGTTCTTCTAATTTATTGATTTCCTGTAAAACATAGTGAGCATTCACAACTTTTGTTACACACAAAATTATCAAATATGTAAGTTCAAGAAATTTTGGAATTTCTGTTTTTTATAGCACATATTATAGGAATCTTATGAAATAAGAACATGAAAATTAGAGAGACTGTATTTAAAATAGTGATTCTTTGGTTACAAAACATTTCTTCTTTTGACTATATGGACAAATTTTTACATGCCCAGTCAAAAATAACAACAAAAAAATCATTTGAATATATATCTAAATTTTGCTTCTATTTCCAAATATGTACATATCAAAATGTGAAAGATAGTTTATCTGAAGTCAAATTTCTTTTGAGTGTATTTAGAATGGCAACTTATTCCTATTTTATGACTTTGCTAGATTTATGTATGAAATTGTTTTGTAGCAATAACCAAAGTTTAATGTTGTAATTGTCAGTGGTAATGAACATTGAGGATAGATTTTTTATGTTCAATTAGTAGCATTTTACTTTACACTATTTATACTTCTGTTATTGAGACTTCATTATTATTTTACAATATCAAATACATACATATTTTGTGCATATTTATATACATGTATGTGTATACATGTAGAGAATGTGTAAAAACGAGAGAAGAGAATACTGTCCTCTGGAATATGTTTTTATCTTTGTGCAATGATATACTAAGAAAATTTACCTATTAGAGTCTTTAAAATTGACACTTCCAATAAAAGTGGAACCATATTGGGTGTATTTTTGAAAATTTAATTAAGATTCTTATTGATTAGAGCTGTTCCCCTTTTTACAACATTAAACAATGCTGCAATGAACACCATTTTATACACATTTACATTTTCATACAAGTTCTATAGAACAGCTTCCTGGAAGTAGATTTGAACAAAGGGATTAAACATTAAAATTTTTATTCAATACTGCAAAACTGCTCTCTAAATGTATGTTACCATATTAATTCTCTTCCTAACTTTTTTGTATCAGTACTCGCTTTTTGCATCCAAATACTAGGTACCATCAACATATTTAAATTTGGAGAGTAAGAGCAGATACATAATAAATCACTGTGACTTAATTTGCTTTTCAAACTATAATGAAATTATAGTATCCAATTATCAAGTTCCTGACCCTTAATGCTTTTCTTTATTACTTTTCTTTTCAGATTCTTTGCTGAATGTTCTCTTCAGGCATTAGGCTCTATTTTTGTTGCACCAAGTCTTCTAATGTGTTATGGTAATATTTTCTTTCTTTCTCTTCTGCACTTATCCCATCCTGTCTTCACGGTATGCTTTATGATTTTACAAGTATTTCCATGTTCAACTGTTGATAGATTATTATTTTCCCTCTGCACACAGAAACAAGCCAGTAGCATATTATTTCTTTCTTCATGCATTAAAATAAATTTATACCTCTCTGGACTGGACTGGACAAATGGAGATGAGAGGATCAAGATGGCAAAGATCAAGAAACAAAGGTTTACCCAGATTTCCCTCTCCCATGGCACTCTTCTTAAGGAGAAGGTCCTGTCTGTTCAATCTATGTCTCCCTCCACCAGGAACCTTGCTGTACATTAGAATAGCTCTACCCTCCAGGTCCTCCTTCCCTGGTCATTTAGCATTTTTCATACAAAATGGTATATATAATAAAGATAGAATGGTGAAATGTCTGTTATAGCAACATGATAAAATAAGGTCAACTGTATTAAGTGGCTAAAAATTGATGGAAATATGTCAGGTAATTTCAGAAGTCCACAGAGCAGAGGTCAAAGAACTAGCAATTTGACTTCCTAGATACCTAGAATCAATTGTTTTTCATACTAAAGCTGAAGCTACCTATTTATTCATATTTATTCACTTTTTAAAAAAATCTGCACATGTTGCTCACATTTGACAAGTTTCATTTGGAATTATTTGCATTCAAAAGATGGAAAATGCATTTGATTTTTAAAAAATACTCATGGAATGCTTTATAATTTTACAAGTATTTCTTGAGGATATCCATGCATACTCTCCACACTCTATCAACAGTGGCCCTGATAAAAATGGATATGTAATTTTTTTCATCTTAAAGTCCACACTCTCTTTCATATGGTACCAGTGCTCTTTTTTTTTCCTTTCAAATCAATATTTGGTCATCCTTGATAGTAAGAGGGTATTACCAATAAGCATTTTCAACAAACAGCATTTGCTGATTTGGCCATTCATTTAATCGCCTATTCCCTCTTTGGGCTACAGATTCAAAGATCAGGACTGGGGTTGTTGCTCAGTGGTAGCATGCTTACTTACTATGGTGAGGCACTGGATTCCCTCCCCAGCACCACAGGAAAAAAGATCAAGATTCAAAGATCAATAAAATTATTCAAGCAATGGGGATCAAAGCATCAAGGTTGTTTTCCAAGCACACATGCATGCACATGCAAGCACTTTCAATGGCACCAACTTACCAACTTTGTGTCTAAATTGCTGCAAGTGACTACTACCTTTAACAATGTATGTAGCTTGGGGATTTTGCAGTTATTTATTTGCACCCCCTTTTGGAAGGCGGAAACTCCCTGCAAAATATAAAAGCAATCTATCCAAACTAAGAAAAGCTTGTTGATCATGAGGCTTTGATTCTAATGATTATCACTTCAAATATGTCCAGAATGTCTACTTCTTTCAAAAAGTTTTCAATTTGGTTAGAATACCTCACTAACAGTGGGTTCAAATACAGTCTATCATCTCTGCTGGACTTAGCACATTGCCAAATTCAGTGTCTTTGTTCTTTCATCTTGTCTAGCTTCTCTCTCCTCTCACCTCACCCCCATGAGCCTCTAATCCTGTTTCTACATAAAATAATAGTTCTTTTCTTTTCTCTCCAACTTTAAGTTACTCCTGTAACTGACATTTCATCTTCTTGTCTGTCTCCTGTGTCCCTCAACTCTCTGGAAGGTTTCTTCTTTGTGTCTCCCACTACCCGCTCCCCTTAGCTTGAATCTTTGATATCCCAGTCTGTCTTGATGTGCTCAGATCCTTATTAATGGCTGAGAAAAAACACTAGCAGGGTTGAGAAGGAAAGACATGAAAGAGGAGCAGGACATCAAGGTTGGTATTGAAATGAGGCTTGCCAACAGAGTTCCCATATTTAAACATTCATGCCGTTGTCTTGTGACATTCTTAAGGTGAGGAAAATTAAAAAAAAAAAAGTTTAGAGTGATTGAATCTTACAAATTATATATGTGCAGAACATTATTTCTTAACTTGTTTATTCTCAGTCAGTAGTTTAGTTGGTGTTCATCCAAAGTGGTAACTTTGCTAGACAAGTGATGTCCATTTTCTAAAATCAGTAGTTGTAATATGTTTATACAGAAAACAATTGCATTAATCAAGAATGGATCTATTCAAATAAAATCCACTCCAATGATGCTGGCATTTCTTAACTAATGATAGAAATACAGGCTTCGTATAACAAGCGTAAGCCTTAGGTATTTTATAACATGAAGATTATTTTTTTCAAGTGAGTAGTGAAGTTTAGGTCAAACATTTATTGTTCATGAAAAGAAACAAATGATATTACTAGATAAAAATAAAATTTTATAATTGATGACTTGTTTCTTAATTTTTTTTTCATAAGTACAGAGTAATCTAGATCTTTGACAGAATTAACCACGGAATGGTCTAGGGCAAAGGACAGAAAAATTATAGTCCTTGGGCCAAATCCAACCAACAGATTATTTTTATAAATAAATATTGATCGTTTCACAGCTTTTGCTCATTTCTCTACATGTTGCTAATGGCTGCTTTCTTGTGACAACGGCAGTATCAGATTGTTGAGACAAAAACTGTGTGGTCCTTACAAGGTAAAATATTGCCACCTGACCTTTGACAGAGAAATTTTGATGATAACTGGTCTTACTATGTCTTGTTCTCTTATTATAGGGGACTTTCTGATCATTCTCCAGCCCCATTATGCTAGTGTTTTTCTTGTTGCTGTTCCCAATGATCAGTGAATATCATGACCTAGAAGTAGAAAACTTAGCATGTTTAATCCAACAATAAAAATGATAAGCATACATTACTATTCTATTATGAGCTTATGAAGATAACATTATATAAATTATTCAAAATTTCGGGTTTTTCATATAATTATTTGTACACATAAGAACATGAGTGTGCCTCTTGGGAGTGGCAAAATAAATTATTTTAAAATTTGATTTTTTAAAAAATATCCAGGTAAATAAGGTTTCCATTCTTGAATGATAAAATATTAGATCTATATAAAATTTACAAATACAGGGTGCCTACCTCTTCAGGTCTGCTAAAATAATCTAAAAATTACAATTGCTTTAGACAATCTAACAAGACACTGCAATAGTATTTATAAAACGAAAATACCTTTAAAGAGACTACATCTAATGGAAGATAATTATCCCTTTTGCTGAAAGTATGGAGAAGGCACTAGATAAATTCACTTGAAACCTTTAGAAAAGATTGCCAGAGGAGCCAAGGTAAAGACGATGATGTAGAAACAGAGTTTGCAACTCTCCTTGTCCTGGACTGCCCGAAGAAACAGGATCTGGATAGATTTAATTCCAGAAAATGGCCTTCAAATACAATAATTCTTACCTCTTGTTGTTTCAAAGTAGTCTCTTGAATTTTGCCATTCAATGTTTCTATATTGAGCTGTAAATCAAGTAAGGTGCTATTCAGATTTATTAAAGACTTGGAGATTTCACCTACTGCATTCTCATATTCCCGGACTGAGGAAACCAAGTTATTTAGCTGGAGAAGATTATCATTAAATCTTTGATCCGTTGTCACACTGAAATTTTGGAAGTGTTCTGAATTTATGAGATTGGCTTCTGAATCTGAAATAGATTGGATTCTCTTCTCCATGTTGACCATGCTTTCCATTACAAATTCTTGAAATTTCATTTTAGCTTCACTTCCATTTCTTTGTCCCAGACTTTGAGATATATCATTTGCATTAATTGGATCAACTGTGCAATTCTTCATTTCCCACTTCAGGAGATGAGCTGCATGTTTAAGTAAAAAATAATGAAGTCAAGACCTATGTTCTTAAAAGTATACATTATGTTACTCCATTTAATTCCTTTCCTTTATTTTAATTACATGTGGGATAATAGCCTAAACCCTGTATTTATTTTAAATATGCTACATGTGAATAATAGTATACTACTGAGTAGCACACAGCCTCCCTTTCCCACTTTACATAAGAATTTATTCCAGGATTATGTCATTATTTCTGAATTTCTGCTTATATGAATCTTCCTGGCCATTAAATTTAGCTTTTCCAGTAAGGGAACATTCTAAAAAATATAAAATCTGTTATATTATACTCCACAGACTATTGTTAGGATATAATGAGATAATGCTCAACATATTTTCTGAGGTAAGCAGGTTGGACAAGTTAGCTATGATATTGACCAAAATAATATGTAGTTAAAGGTGAAGCACAAGTAGGAGCATCATCCTTTTTGTGGATTAATTGTTCATCTTCTTCATCCTATAGCTTAAGCTGAATTAAGAGAATTGTCATTTTAGTTTTCACAGGTTCAACTCCCAGTTGGTGGAGCAGGAAACTGGGAAAACGACTTTCTTACATTTAAAAAATATATTGTTTTCATCAAACTCTTCTTTTCCTGTTATAAAGTATATATTCACAGCAGAAATTTTGAAAATATGGATAATAAGAAAAAATAATTTATCCTCATCTTACTATTCTAAGTTAAACTCCTGATATCTTGATGTATAGATATCAAATCTTGTTCTCTGTTTCTACTATCATATTACTATTTGAAATAAAAATATTTTATATAAATCTGGAAGCTACTTTAAATTTAATGCAATATCATAAACATTTCTTAGTATTATTTAATATTGTTTTACAAAAATAATTTCTTAACTACATTGTATTCTATGAATGGGTATCTCAGATTTATTTAATAGCCCACCTACATTTAGTTTGCTTCTGTTTCCAGTAATGTATCTGGTGTTTTGATGAACAATCTTTTGATAAATTATTTACTGAAGAAAAAAATTGCTATTAAATGACATTTGGGGAACATACTGAATTGCTGATACATATTTCCAAATGGGCATATGTTCTCTAAACAAGATAATTATCATTCCAAAATGTTCTAAAGCAATATGCTCTTTTGTTTAAAAGGAAAGAAGAACAATAAGTCACAAGCATTAACTTTGCAGATAAAAATAATACACAATTATACACAATGAAAAAATGTTAAATGTCATTTTAAAACTAAATTGCAATGGTTCTTTGTATCTTATGTATATTTATATCTCCATATATGTATACTTATATCTCCATAAATGTAGACTTTTCATGTACACAAATATTAGTCCCATTCTTGTTAGTTTGGATGCATCAGATTGTCCATATATGACATTAGGGAGCAATAAAAAGATTATCTTGCTTAGATTTCCTCAAAGATACAAAAGAGATACTTACCTTAGTTGTGGTGGTAAATCTGGTGAAATAAAGCATGTAAATCCCATAGCAGCAAATGGGCCCATATTTCAAATCTATTCAATTACAAAATGCCTTCTGCATGACAGATATTGTCATAGAGTTCATTGTACCCACTACCTTTAGTTAAAACTTTGTGTAATGATTGTTGCTATTATTATATTGAGAAATGCTATATTATATATATAATATAATATATAGTATATTATATATATAATATAATATATAGTATATTATATATTATTATATTGAGAAATGCTATATTTAATATGCAATGCAATTTTAATTTTTAGAAATGTGTTATATTTTTCCTGGTTACAGTCCTTCACTATCAACTTACTTGAATTAATAAACTTCAGGTAAAATTTTTAATATGATCTACAATAGAGGCTGTATTAAATGTATGTTACTCTGTATTTCTTTATTTATCAATAAACTGGACATAAAAATGTATTTCTTTGCCACATCTCATTATTAAATTTATTAAATTCAATATGGAAAAAATTTTGGATTGCCTCTTAAAATTTTCTTTTTGTTTCTTTTTATGATAATTATTGCTTCTTGGGTAGCAGTTAAGATTAGATTATGAAGTAGAACTTCCATCATTAGGAGCTCTGATTCTGCCCTTTATAAAGTGTGACACTGGACAAGCATTGAACAAGTTATTTGTCAGTGCTTCTATTTTGCTATCTGTTTAAATGGAATATTATCTAGTGTTATCTCAGTGTTTACATAAATAAAATATACAATGTTTAGACCACTTTGTGGCATGTAATAGGCATTGGATAAGTTTCAGGGTTTTTGTCATTATAATTTTTAACTCAATATATGTGACCCAATTATCTATATGCTTCATACTGATTAACTTTAGAAAATTAATTTTGTATAATATAAAAATTTTTCTGGGATTGGATATTCCCATGAATATAGTAGTCACTGTGCTTTATTTTACTAGGTGCATTACTCTAATTGCTCACCACATCATTTTGCTTTCATGAAAAAAAATTTTGTTTCATGCAGGTAACGTTAGTCTTTTTCACTGTACGGAAAGAGAAGAACTAATTTTAGAAAAGGCCAACAATTTGGCAACAAGTTGAAAAAGAGTTGACAATAAAGGCTTATCTTTTGCTTATAGATTTAAAAACACAACAATGATTAATTCCTTAATCTGAATGAAACTAACTTAAACTTTCCTTTCTTTAAAAATGTTTAATGCTATCATATAGTGAGGTAAAGAAGGTCAGAGTTCATTCCTTTTCAGAAGTTCATTTCTTTCATTTTTATTGGAGAGCTGGCAGTTTGTGACTTTCCTATTTCATATATGAAAGGAGACAAACTTTTATGGCCTATGCAAAGATCTAGGGAGAGGGTTATATTTGATTCTACAGATCATGTTTACTCTTTCATGTTGGTAATATCTTTTCCTATCCAAAATTTATATTGTGTTGAATAAGAATTTTTAGTATTTCAGGAGCAATTTATACACATCAATTCTAGGTTGTATTTTATTGTTATGCGAAAGCATTATGTGTTATGCTCTCACAATGTTTCAGCAGCTTCTTTAAGGACAGGAAGCATATGGAATAAACTGTATAACTAAGAACACATTTAGTTTTCACGTGCAATTATTTTTTGGGGCTCATTAATTCATATTTTCCAAAAGGAGTACCTTTTATTATCTTAGGCATATGTTTTGTCTATATTAATATATTTTTTGTCACGTGGAGATATGTACTATATTTTAGTTCATTTTTAAAATATTCTGATCTACAACTTTAAGTTATAAATGGATTATCAATATTTTATTATGAATAAATGACAGATACAGTGAGTTCTATTCCAAATTCTCATGGATTTGGTACTGATGCAAACCAATAATATTGGAATATATTAGCTTCTTGTCAATCTTAATGTGTGCCTATTGTGATTTTAGGAAACAAACTACTTCAGATCAATTGTTATCAACTCTCGAACAAATATGTTGACACTTATAGTACTTTCTAATAGTCCAGGTATTTGGGCCTTGATTAGAATCCCTGAAATCTTTTTAGACTTCTGCCTGCCTTCTGCATGGAACTGTCAGAAGCTTCAGTTCCTGAGGTTGGCTCCGTAGGTTGTGATTTATATAAAAAATAAAATGTATCCAATTAGTGTAGTTAATAATCCCAAACAATGATGCATCTTTCAGTTATGCATTTTACATTAGAGATAAGCAGATGCACAAATAGCATACAGATAACTATGTCTCATCAGGAAGTTGATTTTTTTACTGCTAGATATATCAGATCCTTTTATTTAGATGACTGTAGTGCATTTGCTTGTTGGTTTGGATGTTATGGTTCAATTTCTGTTTTCATTTGTATTTTAATGGCTAAAATATTAGATAATTTTTTCCTGAGGAAACCATTTTCTTGGCTAAAATTATCACAACTCATTGTGTTGCTGTTGTTATTTTACTTTTACTGACCATTCAAGTTTGTTATAAAAACCTAGAGAAACAGCAGACCATAGAGGTTAGAATTCAGAAGTCATAGATGGGAACTACAGCTCCATTACTGAGGAATCTCAGTTTTCTTGTACAGATAATGAGGACACTATAGCATCTGCTTAAAGTATAAGGGTGTAGTAAGAAAATTTGGGGAAAGTTTTTAGCCTAGTAACTAAACACAGTAAATGTTTAAAAAAGAAAAATGACAGGGGCTATTACAATTGTTGTTGTTTCTGTATTATATTTTTGGTATGGAATTTTGGCTTTGTTTTGGAATACCCCCTCTTACATTGCCTCTTAATAAAAGAAGTTTGAACTTTTATTCAGGAGTATATTCTTGTTAAGCTGATTAATATAGACACAAAAATGCATCTTCTTCCAAACTTATCTCTTGACAGAACATATGGCCATGTGTTTTCCCAGCCATAAAGAAGAGGACAGCAACAAGACATATAAACTTAAATGCCAATTTAAATTCATCAAATTCATAAAAATGTTATTTAGGAGAAAAACATTTACATGTATATATAGACTACATACAAGCCATTTGCCTTTGTCAATATCCTTAAATCTATTCCCAATCCAAGTCAGACTCCCCAAAGGAAAATATACTTGAGCTCAATGTGAAAGAATGCCAATGTGTTATTTTTAGAGATATTTTAAGTAATAGCTCATGAAGCATGAGATCATGTTAATTGTAAAAACTGCACCTAAAGAGGTAGGTGTAAGGCCCTTCAATAGACGAATGGATAAAAAAAATGTGGCATTTATACACAATGGAGTATTACTCTGCATTAAAAAATGACAAAATCATAGAATTTACAGGGAAATGGATGGCATTAGAGCAGATTATGCTAAGTGAAGCTAGCCAATCCCTAAAAAACAAATGCCAAATGTCTTCTTTGATATAAAGAAAGTAACTAAGATCAGAGTAGGGAAGAAGAGCAGGAGAAGAAGATTAACATTTAACAGGGATGAGAGGTGGGAGGGAAAGGGAGAGAGAAGGGAAATTGCATGGTAATGGAAGGAGACCCTCAGGGTTATACAGTGGAGTGGGTAGAGAGAGAGGAGGGGAGGGGAGGGGAGGGGAGAGGTGGGGAGGGGGGAGGGTGGAGGATGGGAAAGGCAGCGGAGCACAACAGACACTAGTATGGCAATATGTAAATCAATGGATGTGTAACTGATGTGATTCTGCAATCTGTGTATGGGGTGAAGGTGGGAGTTCATAACCCACTTGAATCAAAGTGTGGAATATGATATGTCAAGAAATTTGTAATGTTTTGAACAACCCACAATAAAAAAAAAAAAGAGGTAGGTGTAAGGCATTGGTTTATAGTGGGAATATTTCTTTCTGCTCTCAGTACTAGACATAGAAGATCTTCTGAACAACAGCCTTGTTTTAATGGTAAATCCATTGTCAGTGCAAATGATCATGTTTGTCTTCACATTGGAAACTAGAATACTTCACATTGACAATGAAATTTATGGTCCATTGCTAGTCCTATATACATAGAACTTTGGAGTGTAACAGATTTTTGAAAATCTTCCCATCTTCACATGTTTATGTTTTATTTTGTTCTTTTCTATTCTGTTTTTTTTTTCTAATTTGAAAATATCTATTTGCTTCCACTTAACATTTCAGAATCTATTCTTTTATTTCAAGAAAAAAAAAAAAGGTTTTATTTTTTAAAAAATTGCCTTTTTTCCCCCATTATGTATTATAGTTTTCTTGTGTGATTATAAGTGAAGGCTATTTGAAGTGGATTCTAGGGCTTACTTTTGGAAATTACTACAGGAAAAATAAATAAGGAATATCTCTATACTATGGCTGCACAGAATCTATTTTTTAATTACCAAACTTGAGGAAATAATTATACATGAATTTTTCCTTATGCATCTACCATATTAAAAGAAAACTGAATGCTGTTTTTTTTTACATTTAATAATTCACAAGAAGAATTGCTAATTTTCAATATTCTAGAATTCCATACCTGCCACTATTCCAATGATAGGTATGAGAATTGCAAACACAAGGAGATAAAGGGCAATTAGTGCAGCTTTGAAGGACTTCAGTTTCTCTTGAAGGGCAGGGCCATTTTTTGGATCTACAAAAAACAAAAGCCAAAACTATTGTTAGAAAACTTTCTGCTCTTATGTGATTAAAATTTTATAATTTCTAGTTATATGATTAGGACCAAGCCTATTGTAACAAAACAAAGGAAAACTAGATTCTTAGTTACTCTGTACCAAACAAAGGGACAGGCATAGGAAAAGCTGATTCAGGTGTGACTATGAACACTTGATTCACTTATCTATTTACCAAAAGTCCAAGAGAAAGTTACTACCCTCTACAAGTTGCGCTTATCTCATTTGGGAGGATTAATTGGCAAATTTTAATATTGGTACTGACATATGTTGGCATAAATATTTTTCTTCTGCATATTTCACATGGGAATATATTCTGGGTCAAATAAAATTCCTCAAGCAACATGATTATGATTTTTTTCATATTTTGAAACTAGAGAAATATTTACTTTCAATGACCATTAGGCAAAATATTTATTTATCGATTCCATCTCAATAATTTTGTATTTGTGTACCTTATGATTTGAATATAATATCAAAATTTTTAAAAAATGAAATAAAAGAATTTACATGCTGACTAAATTTTGAAATGAATCAATGAAGCTCATCTTCTGGATATTTCAGAACATATTAAGAATAACTTTGTAGCCTGATGCATTTATATGGAACAGTGATTCACACAATGGAAAGATAATTGTGGTAGAAATACATTAACATACAAGGGAAGCTTAGTAGTTTGGGAAGACTATTGTCTGATTAGATGAATAAAACATTCATTAAAATTTTCTTTTCTGTGGCTATTTCTTTTATTGTTTAATAAAAAAGTAACTTCCTTTCTGTTTGCAAACTTCTAATTTAAAAACAAAATTTGACATGTTGTTCAATAATGCTTTATGAAGGATCAAGAGGAAAAGAAAATTTTTGAAAAGTAAAGAAAAGGAAAGATTGCTGGGATAAGAAAAAGAATAACCCATAACAGAAGCAAGATGGGATATTCCATCGTTCAGGTTGACTAAACCTGAAGCTGATGGGTCATCCACTTTCTCATGTATAATTTATTATCACAAGTTCCGAGTAGTTTATCTTTTAAATAACTCAGATTTTTCTCTTATTTTTCCTGCTCCCAATGCCTTTGTCCTCCCTCCTCAATCATGGAGCATCTTTGTCTATAGTTGGTCTTACTATTATCTTTAAATGTGTATGTCACTGGTACCACCTTCTCCCATCAATCATTAGCATAGCACACAGCTGGGGTTGAGAGCTATATTCCAGGTTTGCCTTAGTAAAAACTCATATACGAGTCTGTAGCTTTGTGTGTGCTGCTTTCTCTAACTGCTCTTCCTTCTCCACCCATTCCCTTGGATATGGATATTCATCCTTTAAGGCTTGGTGGAATTCTAAACAATTCTGTCCTGCCCCCTTCTGCCTATAAAGACAGAGTTGGATACTTTGAGCTTTTATCATAACCTGAATAAACATCTATTTCATCTGTCAAGAACATTTTGTGTGCCCCCCAAAGATATGTTGAACTCCTAACCCCAGATACCCAAGAAAGTAATCTTAATAGGAAATAGTGTCTTTGCAAATATACTCACTTTTAAATGAGGTCATACTGGACTAGGGTAGCTCTAACTTAATGACTGGAGCCTTTATAAGAATATAAAATAAAAGAGTTACACAAGGGGAAAAAAGAAGGAGGCAGAGATTAGTTTGACAGAGTTACAAGCCCAAGAAATACCAAGAATTGCCAGGGCCTAAGAGAAGCTAAGAAGAGCTCAGGGATGATTTTTCCCTCAGCCTTTACAAGGGTGCAGAGACCTCCAGGGACCTTGAATTAACACTTCTGGAATTCAAGTTTGTGAAAGAAACATTTCTATTGAGGAAACTTTAAGCTACCCAATTTGTGGCAGTTAGCATGGCCCTCAAAAACTAAGCAAGCACCTGCTGCCCATAGGCACTCTGTCCCCCTTCTACTTACTGGGAGGAAGCAGTGCTGTCATTGAGCGAGCATCAAATTTCACAGATTCTGAATAGGAATCCAGGTCCTCCAGTTGATCAGGAAAGCCATCTAGCTGCTCCATACTTCTATCAAACACATGGAAAAATATATTAATTCCACATGAATTGGCTAGGGTTTTTTTTCCTAATGTTTCAAATTGAAATTTATCATTAACATTCAATTTTAACAATTATTAGTAAAATGAATACACATGTCACATATAACAATGTATTAAACATAAATTTTAACTTTCCCATAAAGAGATTTATGTGGAACTTACGAATCTGTCAATGCGCAAACGTGTCTCAGTGTTTATAGATGGTGTGTCTTTGAGTTTGAGTGGAGGTAGGATTTTTAGATAAAAGAATTTTTTTTCCCAAGTGACAAAAAACTGGCTGAAAAGAATATTATAATTTCCCTTAGAACAAATAGCTATGCATATTTGGAACAAATATTTCCTGTGACCTCTTATCAGAGATTCTGGATTGAATTTATTAAGCATATCTTTGTAAGTCAGTTTTTTCTTACCAAAGTATCTTACCAAAGTAATTTAGAAACATAAAACAAAGCCTAAAATATCTCTAAACTGAACTACATAAGGACAGATATTATGTCTGCTTTTGTTCACTTGCTTAAAACAACCTGGAACATAGAATATATTTCATAAATATTTGTTGAATGAATGATTTGGCTTCATAGGGCACTGGTTTTATATATTAGTTTTGCTTTTGTGTATGAGGTAAGATGGATGTTTGGAAAATATAAGAATGTGAAGAGGTGTGCTTCTTCTGATAGATTCTTGGCAAATAGTTTTTGTTTATGATTCAGATTTTATGGCTTTTCTTTTTCTAATTTACATTCTTAGTCTTTTGATAGCTTCCTTGGAACTGAATTATACTGTTGAGACACTGCCTCTGTCCTGTTCCTAATCTGCATTTGTTTGCATTTTCGCTGTACCACTTAGCCACTGGATTTGACCATATTCCACTGCAATTCTCTCAAGAAAACATTGCTTGTTTTTTGGTTAGGACAACTTTTTTTTTAAATTAGGGACCATCTTAGTTGTGTAGAATATTTACCAACTCTGGTTGTCACCCTCTAAATGTCACTAATATCTCTTAAATTATTGTAACACCAATAATTTGCAAAACTTTTACCCCACACAAACCTCAACTCTATATATTTCCAAACATACCCTCTTTGAGAACCACTGTGCTACATGCATCCTGAATAACATTAGTTTTTATGGAAAAAAAATCTTCATGAGTTTCAACAACAATACAGATTAATCAAATTTTGTGTGGCAGTATCTCTCAAATCACTCTGTGTGTGTGTGTGTGTGTGTTTATGTGTGTGTGTGTAAGAGAGCCTTTAAAACGTGTATGAATGTTTCTTATATAACAAAACTTAAACATGTTACATGTTAAAGCAAAGGGAAATGAACATTTCCAGGATGATGATGCAGTGATCTAAACTTGGCCTTTTATCAAGGCATAAATGTATTTTTATCTACACAATTTGACATTTTGTCAAGTTATATATCAAGTCATTGTAACAAGTTCTGTGCAACTGAGGAGGAGGCCAAGATCAATCTATATGGAATAGTCTTAGTAACCCAAAGATCTTATTTATGTACTAATTAGGAAGACTGTATTCTTTATCAAAAATCACCTGGCATTGTGATATATTTGTATATATACACATGATATATCACATGTGTATATATCTATATATTATATATTATAGATAATTGTATGTATATACATGCACATAATATATTTTTATATATGCATATATATGTTTATATATGAATATATATGCATATATATATACCTATATATAATTTTTTTTTTTACAAAGAAGGCACAGGCATAATACCAAAGGGAGTGACTTACTCTTTGGGGAAACTGGGTAATCACGGTAAAAACATAGAAAAAAAGCCATTTGGGGAGCACTTTAAAAAATAAGCAAAAATTGGGGGTGAAATTATTGCAGAATAGTTAACGTTAAAAGCATGAAGGCATGAACAATAAGGGGACTTTAAGCTGATCAGCATCATCAAACTGAAGTTCAGGGCACAGAGCCAAGCGAGAGGCTTTAGATCTTGTATCTGGCAGGACCCTGTTCATGTATAGGGGACTGGAAGGGAGATGAACACCAAAATCTAATGTGTGGGTGGATGAATTAAAAATATTCCCCTTGACAATTCTGGAGTATGATAGTTCTGTTATTTTTTTTTTCTTTCTAGGACAATGTACTGCAGTTCATCATGAACTATAAGATATATATTTTTTTCCATAAAAAGAAATTAGGTATTGACCCAGTATAGACATTGCTGTCATAGTATTGCTGGTGTTTTTTTGTTGTTACTTTTCTTTTCTTACCTTCTACATATTCTTTTTGGGGTCTCATCTATTTTGATGACTTGAACTACTTGCTGTGTACCAACCAAGCCAGTAATTATCCAGCTTGAATCTCATGTTTCATAATCAGATTTTTAAAAAGAGATAATGGTGCAATTTTCACACCAACCCATCTTTTTGTTTTCGAGGATTTTCAGTGTTGGCATGTTACCCATTTATATAATCTATTATTATAACCATATGTCATCATCATCTTATTTCATTGTGGAAACACATGATACAGTCATGCATATGGCAAGATAGAAGAAAGAGTTAGAGGAACAGTCACTCAGTCCAGAAGCCAGGGCTTTTTTCCAGACCCCACTCACCTTCATGACCCATGTCCACTTACATACAACTACTGACCTCCTTGAACCCATTCCTATGATCTATCTTAATTTTTATATTTTAGCTCATTTTTATCTACTCAACCAGGCATCTTGAATGGTAACAACGGGATAGAAAATTAAGGGGAAAATCTAAGAGCTTTTAGAATGAGGAGAAAATTAAAGTTTACTAATGGAATATTTTAACAATGTAGGAGAATCAAATCATACAATAAAAAAACAAACAAAAAAAACTTTTTCAGGACAAAAACCTAAGAGAGAGAAATAGGTGACTAAAAGAAGACCCAGCTAAAAACAAGGGAGAACTTTTTGATACCATAAGAGTAGAGCACAAAAGTGGTCAGGGTCATGAAGGAGGGGGAAAAATAGAATTTCAAGACATGCAATGACACCCATGACGTGCCATATTGGATTTGAGCTGCTTCATTTGGTTAACAGAGGCAGACACAGACTCTTAGGAAATCAGCAAGTAGACAAAGGGTAATGAAGGGAAAGGAGAGGAACAGGAATAGGGAAGACAGTAGAATGAATCTGATATAACTTTCCTATGTACATACACCACAGTGAATCTCCATACCATGTACAACCACAGAATGAGATCTTAATTAAAAAAAAGTTATACTCCATGTTTATATAAATATGTCAAAATATACTATTTTTGTGTATAATTCAAAAGAATTTTTAAAAGTCACAAAAAAATAAATAAAATTTAAATGAAAGGATTTGTGTGTATACCAGAAAGCTGGTCATGTTCATGGTTCTTGTTGAGAAGAGATTTGCTGATTATGCTCTGGGACAGTACATTGATGCTGAGGGCCATTGCTAAGTAAGAATGATGCATGGCATGACCCAGGTCATTTGCAGTGTCATTGCATGTAAGGTGACCTTGCTCAAGGACCAGGGAGGATCCAGGTTTAGGGCAGATGGGGGTTTAGGGCGTTCCTGGTTTAGGACAATCCCGGTTTAGGGCGGTTCCAGGTTTAAGGTGTACCCTGCTGGGAATAGGGCGTATCCTGCTGCCTCAGGCGCGCCTGCTGGTTGAGTTCCCGGGGATTTTGCCCAGAATGTGATTGGGGCCCGGAACGTGGATTTCCCCAGAACATGTGTAGAGTGCCGGTGTGAGTTCGGGAATAAAGAATTGCTGTTTGAATCTACAAGGCTGTGAGTGGCTCGTGATTTTGTGCCCAGCCATACTGCGGCACATTGAGTGGAGTTTTAATGTTTCCTAGGTATTCCCCCTCATCTTTTCATCTCTTAACACCATAGTGTGCTAGAGTGCAGTTCTTGTAACCCTTTCTCTCCATATTCACTCCCTTGGTGATATTACTAGGCTCATTGCTTTAAATACTACCTACACGGGTGGGGACACTCCCATTTTTACCTCTTTCCCAGATCACTGAACTCTAGACCCTTATATGCAACAGCCTAACATGTCTACTTAGATTTCTAACCTGCTCCACACGTAGAGGTCTTCTTTCTCTCTCATTTCTCATCCTCCACAAACCATTCCTCATCAGATCCTGTTGGCCATATGCCAATGCAGAAGCTGACTGCAACTCTACCATTCCCCCACTCACTCTGTCCAAGTCTTATCCTCTTTTATCCTGCTCACTATTTTATTAGGTCTCTAATCTGCCACTTGGTCTTTACTCCATACTTCCTTCTCCACACAGTCTCCCAAGCGATTCTCTCCAGTAGATACATCATGTCATTCCCCTGCTCCCCCCAAAAGGAGGCCTTTCCTGAGCATCAGATTTAGAATTATAACCTTCTCATTTTGCTTCATAAACATACAAAAGGCAAATTCACTACCATCACTCAAGACTCAAATTTTCCTGTGACACTCACAACACAGGTTACTTCTGTGACCTCAGAGGTGTAGGGATTTTGCCTCACCAACAAGCAAGCAATTCTGCAGTAGCCAACACTAGCGGATGGTTCTTTACTCCATTTTAGTTCTGACAATATCTACCTGGAGATAACATCAGATCTCACAGGTAGAGAGCTCAGTCCCCAAGACAGCCCCCTACCCCACCTTGGCTTTAGATGTCAATCCCAAGTCGCAATTGTGTTCCCTGTACTTCTGAGTGACCAAGTAAAAATCGGGGTTTCCATAATTTCCTCCTCTGGTTTGACTAATGTACTAGAGCTGATCATACAACTTAGGGAAACACATTTACCAGTGTATTGAAAAAGATATTGTAAAAAGGATACCAATAATCAGCCAGATGAAGACATGTATGTGGTGAGGTATGGGAGAAGAGGCACATAGCTTCCATGCTCTCTTCAGGTGCTCCACTCTCCAAGAAACTGCACATGTTCAGCTATCTGGAAACTCTTCAAAATCTGTCCTTCACTGCACTATGAAGGCATGATGGCTGGTAGTCTGAGTGAGGAAACCCAGCAAGGCCTGTCTACTTAGATTATTCTTGGCCTGTCAGTGAAGCAATCCTCTCAGTGAAGCAATCCTCTAACCAGAGTGTAGGAAGGACCCCTCTGTAATAATAAGGGTCTTATGACCCACTACTAAGGGTAGGTGGAGTTCCTATGTGTGCATTCAGGAGGTATGAACCAGAAACAATGATGGAAAATCAGAAAATAAATATCATATTATCATACCTCTTTTTTCCCTTCCCATCTTGATTTTTCTCCTCCAAAAAGTGTCATCATCTAACACAAATAAAATTCCCTTATTTGTCTTATTTGTTGTGTGTCTTCTCTCACCCAAGTTAGGTGCATGATATGGGTTTTCAATGTTTTAGTTAGTAATCAGAGAGTTTCTCACAGTTATGAAGTATCCATTATATACATATTATATAAAAAATTGCACAGATGAAAAAAAGTATTTTGCAAGATGACCAAATTTCATATCTTGGTGTATGCCTGAAGAAAATTTCACATTTCATTAATTCGAAAATATTTTTAAAATTCTCTTACATATTGGAAGATAGTTTTTTTTCTCTGAATTGCATGTAATTTGTAAACTGAAATAAAAAAAAAATCACCCTCAATGACCTCACTTTGCTTCAGAGGTGTTCATTATTAGAATTACCAGATATTTTCAATTCTATTCTGACTATTATAATTTTTAAAATAACATTAAAACACATACACAAGGGAGGGCCTGGTTAGCAGACAGAAGACAACACACACCTTTCCAGTGTGCCTTTAACTATCATTTCCAAAGTTAAAAGAAAAAGCAACTACACCAAAGTTACTTTTCCAACCAAATGTCAATGCACCTATACAGGATTGTGAAATCCTGTGGGTTTGTACAAACTATTGAAAGCATGTTCTCATGAGAAGTGAAACACATCTCTGCAATATCAGCTTTTCATAGAGAGGGTGAAAAGTTTACAGAGGCAAAAACAGGAAAACCATAATGAAAGCATTTCAAGGTTAATGTGTTTGGAAACCATACCCTTTATTTTTCTTGGATATGGTTTGTGAAAATATTGTAACAATATTAAAGGAAAGGTAAAAACAAAATTTCTGTCACTCCATTATCATAGCACTGGAAAAAGAATACCTTCATTTTTCCTATGAAACTTGAGTTTTATACATATACATCCATGTTATATTGTTGCTGTCACAGTTCAAATTATTTAGTATTAGGCATTTCCCTTAAAATTATATCAGCATTTTTATCCTTCAAATGATTTTTTATATTTAAAATAATGAGCTATTAATAATTCATTGATTATATGTACATATCTTATTTATATAGCCACTTTCTTATAATGAATTTTTTTCTTTTTAATTTTTCCCCTTTTTATTCAAAGGGCTACTTTTTGCTAATACAATTATGATGTAAATATTTTCATAATTTGTCCTTATTCTTTTCAAACACTTTAGGATATTTTGCCATATATATGTTGAACTACCAGGCAAAAGAAAAACTATCTTGAACATCTCAGAATTCACTGCCTGTTATTTTAAAATTTATTTATATTTATGTCATATTGAGCATGGAAGTTTTGAACAAAATTCAGCACCCTTGATTAACAATGTTTATAATTAATAATTATTTACATTTTAAGAAGAGTTAAAATGATACTTCAAGGTGGCTTTTATTTTCATTTTTTCTTATTACCACCCAAGAGATATTCCATGTAAGTATTGATTATTTACCTTAGTTCTTGGGTTTTTGTCAATTCATATCCACTGCTAGACATCTCCAGGTCAGCTTTAATGTGTGTGTGTGTGTGTGTGTGTGTGTGTGTATAATAACTTTTCTATCTGTAGCATATAGTTATCACATGTCTTTTTAAATTTGGTGTATATTCTTCTAACATTGTGCCCTGTTTAGATGTGTCAGCACATTCTTAAGATCAATTCCACATTAAGTTAGGAGAGTTATTTTGGAAGCTTCCTTATTATTTAAAAATAAAAGCCTCGGTTTTGTTAGAATAGTTGAAAGTATAGGTAAACTTTTTAATCAATATATCTTTACAGCCAACTGCTCTACCCTTAAAGAATATGTCTGTTAGAAGGATTCTAATAAGAAGCATCTATATTGTACCTGATGGCAGTGGTATTCATCCTTGGGAGTAAAGAAGAAAAAGCATTGATTTTGGAATCAGAATCTAGACTTGAATATTGGCTATGACATTATCTAGCTGTGTGATCTTAGGAAAATATTTAAATTTTGAATCACAGTTTCTTTTTTTTTAAAGAGAGAGAGAGAGAGAGAATTTTTTTAAATATTTTTATTTTTTAGTTTTCGGCAGACACAACATCTTTGTTTGTATGTGGTGCTGAGGATCAAACCCGGGCCGCACGCATGCCAGGCGAGCGTGCTACTGCTTGAGCCACATCCCCAGCCCTGAATCACAGTTTCTTCATATATGATTACAATATCAAGTTTAAAATTATTATTATGAGGCCTAAAAATATTTTTGGTAAATTGCCTGGTACAGTGCACATTCTGCAAAGAAGAAGGTCATTGGAGATGGAAATATCCCTGATATTTCTAAGAGAAGCCATATATGATCAACAGGACCCTCACCTGTCCTGGCACATGGCACCACTGGTAGAGGAAAGCTAAAGAAGCCAACAGGATTCACACACATCCCCAAGAATGATCTCTGAGGAATCTCAGCTGACTCTTAAGAGTAGATAGGAACAAAGTCAGTTTTGACCTACTTGGTCTTAAACACCTGGCAGGAGAGTATATCCTGAGCACAGTCCTACATGGATATTTAAAAGGAAAAACAAGTTTTTTTTTTTTTTTTTTTTTTTTAATGTAGCTTAAGATATACACTTGTGTCAGCCCAACAAAGGTAAGTAAAGCTGGAGGCTATAAAGAAAGAGTACTTGTTTGGGAGTGCCTAACAATGATGATCACAAAAGACTCTAGAGTTTCAAGTTTGTCCTGAGTTAATTTGAGTCTGATTTTATAGACCTACAAATATTCCTCTCCTCCTACAATGATAAACTTGATCTCTTTTTCATAAATATGATTATGAGTTACTGTCTTCATGGTATGCAGAGACTGGCTGAAGTACTAATTGCTTATGTTCTAAGTGTTTATAAAAAAGTAATGCTTTGCTGTCTAGGATTATTATTTTCTTAGCATGATCCCTGCCCTATATATTCCTTGTCCTGTTACCTGGCATCTGCCACTGTGGACCTCTGGACTGCTATGATGCTCAATACCCTTAACTGTCCATGCTCCACCTGATAGAGAACAAGGACTTTGGGTTACTTTCCTCAACTTTGCCCTCTTTCAGCAGGAAGCAGCTTGGAGATACCAATGCTCATTTTTCCATAGAAACGGAATGTAGAAATTGAAAGTGGGGAAATGTAACAGTGGTACACTTTATGCTTTGAAAATATCCCTTGCTGCTCTGCCACTGAAACTTATTTTTAAATTGGACATGTTTCTTTCTCTTCCTCTCTCCCTATGCCTCCCTAATTTTTCCCCCTCCCTAATCTCAGGGGAAACAGGATTACCTTTCTTCTCTTTTCTAGACATAGTTAATCTGTCCTTGACCACATACCCACCATAGGAAAGAAGTAATCCAGGGTTTTCGGATGGTACCAGATCTCGGAAATGACTATCTCCCAAATTATCAATTGAATTACAACTCCAACAGAGAATACATGAAATGTAGCCTTTAAATTACTTCTTTAAAAGCCACCTGTTCCTGCTGATTGGCAGAATCACAGCCTCTGGGACAGGAGTCCCAGGTGTTTCTCCTTTGCTAGCAAAGCAATAAATCTTTTCCTTTTTCTCAAATCAATCAATCAATAAATAAATAAATTGCCTGGTACACAAAAAGCATCAGCAAATAAATCACCATTATTTTAAAATTCATTTTTAAAATATTTTATTCTTACTGAAGCTTCATGTAACTCCTTGATATTATATAACTTGAAGTGGGGTGTGGAGATTTAAATGCAAACAGGCAGTATATTTGCAGCATATCAGTCCTTAGCTACTACAAACAAAAACTCCTGAACACTGTACAAGACATTTAGAATCTCAGTCCTGTGACTTTTCTACCATGGCCGGTGACAACAACAACCCCCATCCTATTCTGTGTAAATCTTGCCCAGTCTTAAAGATGAACCTAAATTCTAGCATCTCTATGAGGATTTTTTAATAGTGCTTTCTTCCTGTGAAATAATTTGGCTTCTCCTATATTCTCTCAGGAGTTATCTACAGCACCTTTATGCTCCTTAGGGTATTCAATCTGCATTACACCTGTTTGGATACATGCACTAGATCATGTAATTCCTGAAGACAAAAAAAAATTGTATTTCATCTTTTGTAACCTTTCCTCACATCTAGTTCAACCAATGGCATATAGTAGGTAATCAGCTAATATTTGCTCTATGAGCAAGTAAGGATCATAAACCCCTTAAAGTTATAGCCAAAAGTGTCAGGTGAAAAGGAAAGAAAGAAGAAGAATGAAAATTTATTAATCATACTTAGAACAAACCAATATTTTTAACAAAATATGAATAATCATATGACAAAAAATTTCCAGTTCAAACTACAAAGTATTTAGTGTATTTTACACAATTTTTTGCACACACACATCCATTTTTTTTCACTCATGGAAACCTGAACAGAAATATATTTTACCATTCAAACAATGAAAGCAAATTATTAGTGATAGAATAAAACACTGTACTAGAACTATTGATCATATGTAGTATCACTGGTATCTCTCTCACTCTCTATCATTTATACACACACACACACACACACACACACACACCAGACTCATGCAATCAATAAAGGCAATTTGGGGGGAAAAATAAGTATCTTTTACCTTTGATTGTAAAGAAGGCAGCTCTGATTTGTCCACTTCCCTCTCTTTACAATGGAAACCCAAAATCTTTATCTCATAGTATTTCAGCATCTGGTCTATAAAGAAAGGAAATGACACATTCGTGTGTTGAAAAATTTCTTAGCAATGTATTTCAGTAGTGTTCTCATCAATGCACTGGTTTGCAAAATCTAAATTTGTCAGATAACTCATTCCTTCTCCCCATGTAAGAATTAAAAAAATAAAGATAAAAAATAAAAAGGGAGAGAACTAAAAAATGAAAAGCAACAAGGGTATTGGAACGGGGTGCATACTTTATAACAGATTGACCTTTCCCTTTTAATAAGTTATTCATGCCCCCTATTAGCATTCATGAGTCCCACTAACTGTTCTTTCATACTATATAATATAAAGAAGACCATGTTTGTTTCATCTTTCTCCTGTACCTTTTATCCTTACACTAAAACATAAAACACAAAAGGAAAGGATATGAGGCTTAGTAAATAAAAATAATAATCAAATAATGCTCATTTTGACTCTCTGCGTACTGAATTTAGCATCATCTCTCTTTTCAGCACCTAACAAGTTATTGTCCTAGTAGCAGGAGGGTGTCAAGCATGGGGACATAGGAGAGGAAAGCCCTTTATTTTCTGCCTTGTCAGAGTTGCATACATTCTACCTCGTTTAATTATTAACATTCAACAAGTTCAAATTAGACACACATGGAAAGCATTCAACGTGACATTAATGAGCTAACTTTTATAAATAATAGTTCTGGGAGCATGTGCTTACTTTTATTCCACAGGCCCTTTTTGGTATCTAAACAGGAGGGGGTTATAGTTCCTAATAAATGATAGCCCAAACTGTCAAGCCCATAAACACCATCTCGCAGAAGACAGTATGCCTGCTAGGAAGAATTCAAGAGTGATGCACAGCATTTGAGAGACACAAACCAACAGCATTGCTGAGTCACTAAAAGGCTAATAGTGGAACAGGAGACATACAGTTCAGGTAGAGTTCTTACCCAGCATGTATGGAGCCCAGGGATCTATCCCCAGCTCCATAGAGAAAATAAAGATAAATTAATAAATAAAAGTTAATAGTAAGAGAAGCATTACAACAAGCCACATGATTTTTAGTCACATAAAGTGGTATCACAAGTTGAGCCAGTCTATTCCTTTGTCACAATGGTTTATCAAGAAATTCCTGGTGAAGATGACAAGGAACTAACATCAAATTTACTCTGTTTCCCTTGCAAACACTTATATCTATATCTATATCTATATCTATATCTATCTATCTATTTATATCTATATAGATCTATATATCTATATCTATCTATCTATCTATCTATATCTATCTATCTATCTATCTATATATATACATATATAGATAGATAGATAGATAGATAGATAGATAGATTAATTAAATATCTTTGGAAAATATGATCCTTTGGGGGGTCTTCAGAATCTGGAGTTTAAGAACTCCTTCTTTATATTGCTGAATTTGAACACCCTGTCACTAGTATAGGATTAGAAAAATCAGACTCTGGGAAAAAGAAGCTGAGACACAAACTTTCCAAAATTCATAGAATTCGTACTGAGGACTTTTTTAGGTCAGAGTGGGCTCTATTTCTAGTATGCCTCTATACTATGGTTATGTATAAGATGTATTTCCACAATGCTAACCACTTCTCTATTTGATTACTTCCACACCCTTTCACCAATCTAATTGTTCAGTACAAAAATCTCTCACTGTCTCTACATTTATAAACATGGACTATCTATATGCATTCATTTAATTATAGTTGTGTTTATATATGTAAATATGTAATATAATTAACATTCTTTGGGGTGGAGGGACCAACATATTTACTTTTCTTTGAGAAACACTAGATTATATCACATAGTCAGCATTTAAAAGAAAGTGTATAGAAGATATAGAGTTCTAGCTTGGATTCCTAAAGAGCTCACAAGTTTCTACTAACATTGCCATACCAAGAAAAGAGCAAAACAAACTGAAAATCAATGACTTTTCTTGGACCCATCAAAGAATTGAGGTTCAGGGAAAATCACCATCTTGACATTGGGAGAGATGGGCAGATACAGAGAATCACAACAGTTTCCTGTTGCAAAAAGCCACTGGAAGTTAAAATCTAGTAGAAAAACTTAAAAGGAAATTCTGGCAAACTCCAGAAAGCTGAGTGTAGACCAGCACTTGAACAAAAGGCTCCTAGGGGCTGCAGTCTCAGGGCACCCCCAAACATTCATGAGCTTTACCTCCAGGAATCCCATCAGGCTTTCAAAGTGTAGAGCTAAGAAAAGTCACTCAATGTCTCTGGCAGAGGTAGGGGAAATGCTATCATTTAAATATATACCCTGAGTGTTTTCAATAGCAAATAACTAGCCTCCATTGAAAAGACTTTACCAGTCTCCTTACCTGAAGAGCTGAAGGGCAATTACTCAATTCTAGTTCCTGATGGCCTGTCAGTCCAACTGGATAGGGGAGTAGAAAAATAATAATAATAAATTTTTAAAAACATAGAAAGCCAAGAAACACTTGTGAAGGTCACAGTCCAAGAAAAAGGACTCACTACAAGACTAGGATTTAATGCTTAAAATTACAGATTGCTTCTCCTCCCCCAAACTTTGCCACTTCCTCAGCAGCTACAGTATTACACCAGGGGATAGCAACTAAAAAAGCCTCCAGGGTCCTTTTTAAGGGAAGTCTGAAGGGAAACCCAAAGACAATAGAGGACACAAAAACAAAGCCAGTGGGGGAAATTTTAGCCCCTGACAGCTGTACCTACAGCAGCCATTAAACACAACCCATCTCTTAGCCAGATGAACATGAGACCTCAGACTGAAAGTCAAGCAAGTATACCCCCACCCTAAAGTCACATACTCCTTAGGCAATTAGGGAAGTCGAAAAAGTAAAATATAGGCAAAGTGCTAGTGACTAATTTCCTTGCAAGCTCAGCTGTCTACCAGGAGCAACGTTCACAACCACCCTTTCCTCGTGATCCTGTCTTACTAAAAAGACAAAAATATAAGGAAAAAAAGTGAATGTGAGCCTATTTCTTGTGCTATTTTAAAAACATGAATGCACATGCATCAAGTTTAGAGAAGTGAGGCTTCAAAATTGTGATGAAAGACCCAGGCGATTAAGATAAAAGTTTAAATGTTGAAAAAGTGTCTTTTAACTTAAATTTGAGTAAAATGCATCAAGCAAATTCTTATCCAGAAGTCTCTGAAATTGTTATAGGATGTCTGCCTAGGGGCTCAAAAATAAAATGGGACTTGAACCATAGCCAAGTGGACTGAAGCAGTGTGGATACCATTTGCTTTATAAAAACTTCACATGCTTCATATCCTTTTATTCTCAAGGCCAAACCGCTTTATTTTGAAATGAGGGAACTGAAAGTCCCTTCAATAAATTATCTAGGGTCACCTGACAGTGACAGAGACCATACTAGAATATTTGTTCCATGAAGTTTTTTCCAATAAGCCACATGGGTCACTTAGCCTTCCTGAACACACATAATCGCATATGCCATACATCTCCATTTCCCTCCATTATATTTCTGGAAGTTACTATTGATAATTTTCAGGAGTGTCTCTAAAGCTCAAATCTTTCATTGTTCTTTCATCTGCTTACAACCAGAGAAGAAAAGTCCCTTTGTCTTTTGTTGCCCAGATCTCTTGAGAGGACCACTCACTGGCAAATTCTAACCAAGAACCATGTGGGGAAGATAATATGGACTGTAATGACACTTAATTTCCAGGCACACTCTATTTGAAACTTGGAGATTTCACCAAACTTTGACATGGCTTCTAGTAGCTTCAAGGCACACCCATGGGGCAAGCCAGTTCCCCTTTGATTTCCTGTCTTGGAAAGTTCAGTTATCAACAGAATTTACTGTTTATTCTACCTGACCTTTCTTTCTCAGAACATTTGATAAGAAGGGTATATAATTTCAAATCCTCTCTCTCACCCTTTGTATACACATCTCCTGTAACTCAGGAGAATCTTTCTCAAGGACTTGAATGCTATTCCTTTGAAATCTATTCATCAGGAAGGATAGACCTGTGCCTCCTGGTCTCCATCAAAAGACGGAAATTTCTCACTTATTACGCAGGACCCACTCTCCTCCTTCCTTCACCCCTCTAGTTTCCCTAAGAGGCCCCCTAGACCTCTAGCTACTGATTGGGTTTGGCAAAAAGACAATTGAGCAGGACATTTGTGGAAGGAAGGAGAGTTAATCTTCCATATTAATTATCAAAAAATGAAGTAAATGTGAAATAATTATCAAAAAATGAAGTAAATGAATGTGGGGTGGTCTCTTAAGGAACTACTTGATCTATATAAATAGAAAATTTCTGGGTCTGGTGAGAAGAAATCTGACTGTCCTTATTGTGGGGATTCACAAGAGTTCCTCAATTGTTCCAGTTCCTGAATATGGGCTCTTTAAGGAACTCTACAACAACTTTGCAGTAAGACTTGTGGTAGGCAGAATAATGCTCTTCCCCCAAAGACATCTACATCCTAATTCTCTGAAACAGTGTTACATTACAGGGTAAGAGGAATAAGGTTGCATGTGGAATCTTAGTTACATTGGACTCACTCAAATGGCATTAAATAGGGAGATTATTCTGGATTATCTGTGTGAGTCCAGTGTTATCAGTTGATCTTTAACATTTGAAGAGAGGTGAGGAAGAGAGTCCAAGAAAATAATGTGATGGGGGAAGAATAGCTGGACAGATGAAAGATTGTTGGCTTTGATGATGGAGAATGAAGGCCACTTGTCCAAAAATATGGTTGTTATGTAGAAACTAGGAAAGTCATTTTTCTCCATAAAGCATCCAGAAAGTAATGTGGCCATAATGACAACTCGATTTTAGCTCAGTAAGATCCATTTCCAACATTTATCCTATAGGACTATGAGATAATAAATTTGTATTCTCTTACACTTCTAGGTTTGTGCTAACATCATAGTAGAAAAAGAAAATTATTACAGTACTATAGGAGTGTGCTTGGGTGTCATAATACTGCACACCGGGTGGTT